CTCTCAAGGAAACTGGTTCCAGAGCCATGCATTGAGGTGAGTCCGACTATATCTAGTCGGAACCTTTCAACCTCACACACCAACTCAGGCTCCTTCCCCACCAGAGAGGTGACATTCCATGTGTCAAGAGCCAGCTTCTGTAGCCGAGGATCAGACCACCAAGGTCCCCGCCCTCGACTACCACCCGTCACACACTGCACCCGACCCCTTTGGCCCCTCCCACGAGTGGTGAGCCAATGGGGAGTGGGACCCACGTTTCCTCTTCAGGCTGTGCCCGGCTGGGCTCCATGGGTGAAAGCCTGGCCACCAGGCGCTCGTCAACGTGCCCCACCTCCATGCCTGGCTCCAGATGGGGGCCCCGGCGACCCACGTCCGGGCGAGGGAACACGGTTTCCATTTAAATAATTCATTATAAGAGGTCTTCAGGCTGCTCTTTGTCTGATCCCTCACCTAGGACCTGTTTGCCATGGGTGACCCTACCAGAGGCAGAAAGCCTCAGACAACTTAGCTCCTAGGATCACTGAGACACTCAAACCCCTCCACCACGGTAAGGTGGCAGCCCAGAGAGTGTCAGGATCTTCTCAGACCCCTCTGACTCTTGGTCCCGTCTACCCCTAATTAGTTGCTTATTGGACTCACCTGCCCCTTGTTATCCTGCCCATGTGTTCCTGATTATTCCTTGTGTATTTATACCCCCTGTTTTGCACTTGTCTTTTGTCGGATCATTGTTGTGTCTTCACCCTGTTACGTTGCTCCTGGTGTATCCTACCTGCCAGTACTCATTAAATCCGTTTTATTTTACCTGAGCTGCATTTCTCCTCCTGGTCAAGCTCCACCACACATGGGTCCACCACCACCGACACCGCATCGTGACAGAATGATCTGACCAACCTGGACCTGTGGTGAGCTTTAACACCTGCCTGGAGGATTATTTTTGCTTTGTCTCCAGTCCAGCGGAAGGAGTTCTGTTTCTGGGGGTTTCGGCGCATCCTAGCTGTTTCCGGGGTGGTCGAACCCATTCTCCTCTCCTGCTGTCCGCCCTGTCCTGTTTTTCCACGGAAGCTGCAGAAGTCCTGGCGTATTAGTGGAGTAAACCCCCTACGCACGCCAACGTTCCCCAGGTGGTAGGGCTCGTCTCCCCGCTCCTCTTCTGCTTCCCTTCACATGAGCCTCTGCTTGTGGACCCAGCGTATCCTGATGTCATTGGCGGTTTTAAACGGGGGCCCTATAGAACTGGCCCTGGCCCCTGTTATGGCCCCTGTGCTGAAGAGATCTGATTTTTTTTTTCGACACTGCCTCGGAGACGGGAACTAATGCGCTGCAGCGTTTTACACGGTGTCACGGTCCGTGGTGAGCCTCCTGCATTTAACCTATCTTTTCTGAGCATTATTTTCAGGTGGGCGCGTCTGAGAGTCTCCAGCTGCAGCCAATCCAGTCATTACGGCCCAGGGGATTTAAGGAGCAGTGTGACACTTCACCTCGCCGGATGATTACTCTGTTTTGGGTAGCTCTAGCTTTAACCTGTTTTGATCCTGTGATTTTTCTAGTTCCGATTCGCTTACCAGTGCTTATGAAGTTCTGCTTAATTTCTGTCGCCAGAGGAAACCCTGATTATCCTTCCCTGCTCTGCTCCAGGTTTCTCTCCACACTCCACCACCTCCATAACCAACTTGGACTCCTGCACACCAGATCACGCTGTCTCCTCCCCTGGCCGCTCACTCTCAGCCGCTCACCTGCCTTCACCAAACCGCTGCTCCTACCTCCTCTCTGGACCAACAGTCCCGTCACCTTCTGGAGCTTTCCTTCTCACCCGGACCTGACCAATCCCTCCGGAAGATCTCACCACCCACTGCAATCAGTAAGCTCCACTCCCAATATCATTCTCCGTCATTCCCTCCATATACTCACTCTGTCTCCCTCCTCAGAGTTCCATCCTGAAATCTTGCTGCCAGCCTGCCCGTCGTCTGTTCCCGTTCCTATCATTGCTCTTCAGTAAATAATAAAGTCGTTTTACTTACTTACCGGTTCCTGTGTGGTGATTCTGCATGTCGTGGGTCAAAAGACTGCTGCCCGCCATGACACACGGAGCCTTTAGAGCGCAGCACACTCTTAGTGTTTGTGTGTCTGTTTATTTATTTATTTTTTTTTTTGGTTTATTATTCAGTAAAAGGTCAAACAAAACTGATGCATGTCAATTAAGATGCAAATATTAAATAAGAGAAATGGTGAAAACAAATCAATGAACTAAAAGCAATCAGAGCTTAATGCTGTATGTTATTGCTAATCAATTTAAAGGCTGGTAGTTATATCATATCACTTGTGATCCTGAGTGCCCTGGGCACCATACCTTTAAGAATATATTGCTCCCCCATGTTCAAGATAAAACAAATGACCTCATTTACTTCTTAGAATAAGAACTGAGTGCCGTGTACATGAGTAGATGTTCAATAGAGAAAATAGAAAAGTGCTTTGTAGACTCTAAAGTGCTATTTAAATACGACCTGTTCTTTGTTCTCTTCATGGAGAGCATTTGGCTTCAACTGGAAAACAAGACCCAAAAGGTAACTGTTAGGTTCAAGAGAAAATCTGAAACATTTAATCTATTTTCCTGTGATCCAAAATACTTCATGTTTAATGCAATGCACTAAAACGACCGGGCGATTGTGGCACTGGAGTGCTCGTAATCGGAAGGTTGCAAGTTCGACCCTCCTTGCTTGCTGGTGGTGTTTGGTGGGACCGGTGGCGCCTGTGTACGTCAGACTCACCTCTGTCAGTGTGCCCCAAGGCAGCTGTGGCTACAATGTAGCTCATCACCACCAGGGTGTGAATGGGTGAATGACTGATTGTGTTGTAAAGCACCTTGGGGGGCTCCAGGACACATTTAACCCTTCCACTGTCTTATCGGGTGACCCCGTCAGGAAAGTTGACCATTGAGCAGGATTGATGGTTTATCCCTTAAGGTCCACATGAGAGGGGGTGAGGAGTGAGCACCACCTCACCCCCTCTCATGTGGACCTCAAGAGATAAACCATCAATCCTGCTCAATGGTCAACTTTCCTGGCGGGGTCACCCGATAAGACAGTGGAAGGGTTACAGTCACTTTTCCCAATACATTTTTTAGGAAATTACAATGTTCCACCAACATAAAGACAAATTCTAATATTTAGAAAGAAAAGACATATATGAATCACAATTAACTGTTGACATTTAAATGTAAATGTAATAAATTTACACTAAATATTCAGGTGAATGCAAAGTTTGACAGCAGTAAAACAAAATACAAGTACACAAAATGAAAGTACACAGTCGTTCATAAGACGTCAAGAAAAAGGAATAGTGCTTTTTAATTAATAGTTAAATCTACAATGACAAATGAACCTTATTTGATACACTGATGTTCATTCACAGAACTAAGAATGTTTTTGTATGCAACATCATTTAACAGGCAGATTACAAGTGAAACATGAAAAGTTAGAATATCATCCAAATGTTCAACATTTTAGCTGATCAGACTGTGACACTTTGAATCTAGAATATTGAACCTGTCTGGTATTTTGAATACGGGGTTTTCATAAGCTGTAAGCCACAATCATCACAATTATAACAAATAAAGGCTTGAAATATCTGGCTTTGCATCTAATGAGTCTACCTCGTATATTAGTTCAAATTTTAAGTAGAATTACCGACATTAACAAACTTTTCCACCAGATTGTAATTTTTTGAGTTTCACCTGTAGAGAATTATCTGGTGTGAAGAAACCTGCAAAATCTATGTGTTTCAGACAAGTAGATGCCATGAGTAGTAGGACATTTACAATCATTTTCAAATACTTCAAACTGACATTTTTATACCCGATTGGCAGGAACTGCATCTAATGTGTATAATAAGTACCTAAAGGATTATTGCATTGCTCAGAATGTGGCATGACTGACATGATGGAAAATCTGAAGTTGGCAAGTGATTAGTTTCAATTACATTTTTTGTTGAAGGTGTAGTTCACTGAATTTTTTTAATTATAATCATCATTCTGAGTTTTTCATGCAGGCTGAACATGAAAATAGTCTCCTACACCTATCTCCTGCACTTGCTTCTGATAGAGAATAGATGATTAAACTCCAGGATTAGAAAAGTCTGACAGATCTATGTCACACTGTCACTGAACATTCATGGACTCACCCATCTGGACTCACGAGAGGAAGGCTGTTGTTGGTTTAGCGTCCAGGAAACAGTAGAGAACATCTCAGCTAGTAGAAGCTAACGTTAGCTTTAGCATCTCCATCACACAGGAGAACTCCTCCAGGCTTGTGCTATTTGTGGAGATAAAACATCAATGTTTCAGAACAAATGGAGTCAGTGGTAGTTGCGCTGTTGTTAGCCAGAGGTGTGAGATGTCCAAGTAACAGGAAATACGACTCCAAATCCTGTCACATGACGCTACTTTCTCCCCTTGTACTTGAATTCAGTGTCGTTTGATCCCCCTCCCTCCATCTGTGTTCCCTTTTAAAGATCTGAGTTTAGATTTTCATGTGTCAGGCAATAAAGGGTTAAACATCACATTATTAAGCTATCTTGTTGATATTTTATGGTAATTAAAAGAGGAAGACTGTTCAATATGAGGATGTAGCTCCATCTAAACACAATTGAGGTTTTTAACAAAAGAAAAAACAAACACATTTGAAAAAGTGTTTGAATGAAACAAGCATTATAGAATGTTTTCCATCTGTTAGATGGAGCTTTGAAACCCAACACTTTACAGCATTTTCGTGTGTGTGTGTGTGTGTGTGTGTGTGTGTGTGTGTGTGTGTGTGTGTGCGTGCGCGCGCGCACTAATTGGCTGGTCAGGAAGCATTTGCAAACGTCATCCTTCCAGAGGTTCTGGCCAATCAAGAAGCTCCGGTGCAAACCCACAAGTTATTAATCTGAAAGACCGGAGGGAGGAGGAAGTGTAAATATGAAGGTCGGAGATCTGGCGCTTAACTTGGGTGTCCGGCTGTGAGAGTGCAGAGAGAGGAGCGTCAGCAGCCTGCGTGTCTCCTCAGACGCTGAGGGGAGTAGCTGAGGAAGGAGGAGGAGGGTGAGGAGAAAGGAGGTGGGGAGGATTTCAGCACGGGAGCTGTTCAGTGCTGCTTGTGGAGGAGTCTGGAGCTGAAATAAGAGGGGCTGTTGCGTCCGGCTGTACGTTTTCCTGCGGTGAGACTCAGGGGATAATAAACTGCTGTCATTCATTTTCCCTGCGGGGCTGCAGACGGGGCCAGCCGGCGCGCGCACACTTCATTCCTGCCAAGTCCTGCAATGCTGGACGGCCGGGATTGAGACGGGAAGGGTAACGTGTCCGGCAACAGCCAATCTGTCCCCGTTACGGTGAGTTAAACTGCCCTCTGCTGCTTTTCCTTTTTTCATCTCTTACATAACAAATTGACAAATGCCAAATATGCAGGTCTAGAATCAGTTTTATGGAGAGGAAACTCACATAGGTTACTCTGCAGGGAAGCCTCATACATATCCTTGCGAGAATATTTAGGTCAGCATCACTGTGGGTGTGGATGCATTTAAAACTGTTCTTGCGCCTCTCCTCTTTATTTGGTTTTATTCTCCTGAAAATAGACACAAACTAGATCTTAAAGGGGGGAGAGGAGGGGATATCGCTGCACCACTTTTAAAGCTCCCCAGTCCAGGTTTCCCTCCACCTCTGTGAGCAGTAAGTTGTCTGTGAGAAGACACACTTCTTCCCCTGCCATAGCTGAGTGTTTTGGAAAGGATGCTCCCTTCTGCAGCAGATACCAGTTTAGGCAGCTCTGTCTACTTTTCTGCAGCTCCACTGCCTCTTTGGCGTTATCTCCTGGCCCAAAGAGGTCCCTAAACAAGCCAGATTTGTTAACCTTGGAGTGAGTCCTGCCTCTCAGCCTGTGGCAGATCCTTGCAGCCTTAGCAGCTTTTGTTTTTGTATAGAACTCTCTGAGAGCCTTCAGCTGGCACATGATCTCTGCCTCGTGAGGTCTCCAGCCTAACGATGCATTGAGATTTTAATTCCTCCTCCATTCAGCCTTCTTCTACTTCTCTTTTTTATGTGCTTCATTCTCAAGCTGGATTGCAACCCCCACATTTGCTGAGCTGTGAGCATTTCCTCTGAGAGTGTCATCATGGAACAGAGGGAATGAGCTGAGAGTGGGAGAGTTGTTGAGGTTTCACACTCATCTTTCCTCCAGAAATGGAAACATATATAGATCAGTTGTTGATAAGATATCACTAAACCACCTTCCAGCCTTCTGATTTTATTAGAGCATCTCGGTTTTGATACATTTAGGCACATTGAACGATGGATGAGATCTGGGTGAACTCATTAGAGTAATTAGTTCCAGCTCTTTGCTTCCCTGGTCTGTGGGTGAGATCCTCGGCTAGAGGCGGACTCGTTCCCATGAAAAAGCATGCTTTGTGATCCGCTCATTCACCCCCCCCCCCCCCCCCCCCCTCCCATGAAACAAGGAATGAAAAGGAGGACTGGTTTGGGATTCAAATCAGCACATACCAGTGACAACCAGCGCTGGGAAGAGAATCGTACAGTCAGAGAAACACACACCCCCATGATGTGAGGGGAAGCCAGACACAGCTTAGCATCATGCTGTTATGTTCAGAAATGCACCAACATGTAACAGCATAGCAGCTTATCATGGCTCCAACATAGAGATGCTTTATTTAGGTTTAAAATCAAGGCGTTAGAAGATGCTTTTACGCACTGAATTTGAATCTTCTCCAATTGGACTCCATTAACATGTTTATGGCAATATACAGTTAGCAGCCCGAGTTTAGCTAAATTCCCAGATGAGGCAATAAGAGTGGAAGGAAAATCCATTTCACTGGATTTCTAACAAGATGTCTACAGAGAAGCTGTAATATGTGAACACTGAAATAATTGCTTTGTTTTGTTGCTGGGAGCCAAACAGCTGAGAGACTATACCAATCATTAAAAGGATTTTTTTCTCAAAAAATTTACTTTTCTGCTCTATTTGATTTTAAAAGCAGTGTTTTTTCCCTTTTATTGAGATAAACACACGTGAATGCAATCAGTATATTCACAGAGAAAGATAACTTTTGTTTTTCTATTTTTTCTTAATTTGGGGCACTTAGGGTGGTAATCCCTCATAATTATGTTTTCAACAGTGGTGAAAGGAGCATGGGATTTTTGTACTTAAGTAAAAGTGGAATATTCAAAATTTTTACTTAGGTAAACGTATTAAATTAACAATAAATAGTTTTTTCAGAGCTTTAAAATTAACCTCAGTGTCAGTTGGGTTAAAAACATCCATATTTAATACCACTGTAGCAGAGGCAAATTGATGGTTTTATTTATTATGACCATGAAGATGTAATATTCTATATAAATATAAAATATTAACCTGCAAGGTCTTTATTGTAATTAATCAGAAGATTCTAGGATTTAATTCAGATCATTGAGCAGGAAGGACTTATTGTTAACAGAGCGGGTATTTAATAGAGCCATGCTGAGTGAGGTGGAGGAATCAGAAACGACAGAAACAGCTGGAGTTAGTGGACGTAAACTAGCAGGGTTAGATCCTTTGTGTTTATAAAAACCACTTATGGAGGGAACAGGAGGAGAAACCACTGAGGAAAGAGGATAAACCGACCTTAAAAAACTTGGACGGAGAAACCACGCCGCAATGCGGCCTGGCGGGAATGCGGAAGTGTCGCTCAAGTCACCAAACATAAAGACAAGAAGCTAGAAGATAACGCCGATGTTTACTAGATAAACCACGCTTCGAGAAAAGTCTTATTCTCACCTGGATTCCTGCTCGTTTACCTCTTTTCCTCGGACGTTTTTCTGGGACCAGATAAACATCGCTGGAGGCGCCCTGGTTGGGATCATCGCTTGGCTCCGGGCCCAGTGCGCCACTCAGATAAACAAACAGGGAGGTACGTCCTCGGTGCATCTTGGACGATCGTTAACGAATGGAAGGACAAAAAAGTCTGGCGATCATAGGAGAAGGTAGCAGGGACACTACTGAAGAGGATCGCAGACAGGAGCAAGGTGGAAAAGAGGAGGTTAGTGGAGAAAAGTTTGAAAAAGGGGCTGGTGACTGCGGCTAAGCCAAGCACAGGCGCCATCTTGTTACTGACCGAAAGTAGAATCACACAGGGTTGTTTACGACAGTTATAATTACACTCTCAACCAGTAGGGTGGAGGAGCAGGAAACTGTTCGCTTTTACTTTAAAATATGCGTCTTCAAAAGTACTAGAAAGTAAAAAAGTAAAAGTGTTCAACTGACATTGCATTGTGTGTGTAGATGTGTACTATCAGACTGGAGGGTAGAGGACAAAACACAAATTAAAGTACTTTTACCTTTGGAAGTGCAGTCCAGCGTGGACAGGGGTATGTGTTGTCAATCTCCATCAGACCTGGTGTGGGGTGAGAGTTAGACCAAATACAAATTAAAATACATTTACTTTTGAAACTTTAGAAAATGTAGTGCAGTAGAAACTAGGACCTCAAGAAAGTTACTTAAGATATAGATAAAATGTACTTAAGGACAGTAACAAAGTACTTCTATTTCATTACATTCTGTAGTTGCTAAAAGTTGCAGCTACCACATATGATTAGAATACATTCAGATAAAGTTAAAAACCAGTAAATCGAGTTAGTGCTTTAACCAAGCTTGATTCAAATCTGCTGCAGGATCACCTCCAAATGAACTTTTTCAGTAGAACACTTTAATAATCACTCCTTTTGTGCCCGTTTCGTGAAAAAGGTCACTAAATGTCAAGAGTCACACATTGATATTTCTGTTGTTTCATTAGACTAATAAATTGCTGCTTTATAACTTTCCCATGATGGCACTAGAGCAGCAGGAGCCTGATAATAAATACAGACTTCAAGGGCTCCCTGCTGGCCTGGTCTAACAGGAAATACACAATTACAATTTTAAAATTCCTTCGTTTCTAAGCTGAAGAAAGACACCCACAGGAGCCGGAGCCACTGCAAAATAACCTCAGGTGGACTTAGTTCATACCCTCCCCATCAGCGAGGCGGTGATGAGAGTTGCCGCGAGCCAAAACAGCTGAAGAAAGTGATGTGTTTAGTCTGATGTGATTCTGCAGTCTTAGACTGGAAAGTGAAGTCTACAGATTATAAAAATGAATCACTCTGACGAGTGCAATTAATTATGAGGACTTGAAAGGGCACTTTGGCGCCACCTCAGTCTTTATATCAATACACCTCTTCAATTCCCGAGCTCTCAGGAGCCTGCCAAAGTCTCCAGAGTGTGCTGACATTAATCAAGAGCATTAACGCGAACTGAGCAGGAACGCCTGCCCAAGTGCAGAAGAACAAAAATGTGGCAAAAAAACAGAACAACACAAACAAGTAGGGAACGTGCCCCAGAGGACATAAAAAGAGGGTGAACTGCTTATTTTTTTCACCATCTCTGGAATATTCTGGTGCATTGCCTTCTGAAATAAATAAATAAATAAATAAATAAATAAATAAATAAATAAATAAATAAATAAATAAAAATAAAATTAAAAAGCCCAGCCACATATGTCAGGTTCTGCCCCAAGGAGCGGCCCAGTTTTCCTTCTCTTCATCCGGATCTTTTTTTATCCAGGGGCATTTAAATCATTCAGAGGGGTCTAAGAAGGAGAGCAGAGCAGCGAAAGCAGCTGCTTCCATCGCGGAGCCAGTGATCGTCAAGCCTCGGGGAGTTCCAGCCAGCTCTCGTCTGCTTGTTTTGCCCATCACATGTAATATGGAAGGTGAATCTGGGTGACTGCTGAACCTTGGTGGATCATTATTATTACAACTGGTGGATGAAAGGAAATACTGTATAAAAGAAAAAGAAAAGTGTCTTTGAAATAGGCAGATGGGTGAAAAGAAATAGTTATTTATGCCAGTTATTTATTTATTTTTAAGTCAAATTAGACTTAGTGCTTCTCTGAAACATTGCTACAATTATAACAGATATTAGTCAATGAGAAAGGCTGAAATTTTTAACTTGTTATATGTATATACACAATGATAAAATTGTTGGTACCCAATGCAAGAAAAACCCACAATGGTCACAGACACAACTTGAATCTGACAAAAGTAATAATAAATAAAAATTCCATGAAATTTATCCAATGAAAGTGAGACATTGCTTTTCAACCATGCTTCAACAGAATTATGTAAAAAAAAGTACTCATGGAACAGGCCTGGACAAAAATTATGGTACCCTAACTTAATATTTTGTTGTACAAACTTTTGAGGCGATCACTGCAATCAAACGATTCTTGTAAGTGTCAGTCCGACTTCTGCACCTCTCAGCAGGTATTTTGGCCCACTCCTCATGAGCAAACTGCTCCAGTTGTCTCAGGTTTGAAGGGTGCCTTTTCCAGACGGCATGTTTCAGCTCCTTCCAATGATGCTCAATTGGATTGATCTCATCTTTGTCTCATCCGTCCATAGGACATTCTCCCAGAAGCTTTGTGGCTTGTCACTATGTAGTTTGACATATTCCAGCCTGGCTTTGTTATGAGTTGTGATTTTTATGTTTTATGAGTTTTATGAGTGTCCTCCTTTGGTCATTTCCTATGAAGTCCACTTTGGCTCAAACAAAGATGGATTATCTATCATTATCTCTCTAATCTCCTGAAACAACTCTTCCCTCTGCTTTCTCTGGTCCATGTTGAATGTGGTACACACCATGTCACCAAACAACACAGTAACTACCTGTTGCCCCATATATAGACCCAGTGACTGATTACCAGAGTGTAGACAGCTGTGATGCTAATTAGTGGACACACGTCCCTTTTGTTACATTGTTTCAGTCTTTTCTTGGGGTACCTTTTGGGAACATTTTGGATAAGTCATTATTAGTAAGGTCTTAGATAATGATGAACAAATCACTTATTTTTTATTAGAACATTTATTCTATTTTCATGGCATGGTATGTTAACAAAAACAACAACAACAACAAAAATCCCACAACAATTTAACATAACAATTACACTTTCCATGACAATAGAACAGGAGTGAGATGAAGAAAAAAATCTTATGATCTCCCACCCCTTCCTACGTCAATATTGCTACAAGCTTAACAGCCTGACCGGTACCCGAATACAATAAAACACAAATCAAACCCAATTACTCTTCATCTTCAACAGCATTTCAATGTTAATAACATCAATTGTAATTTTTTTACTTTCCATGTGAGAATATATATTAACAATTTTCACATTCATTTTTACACAACTTGAGTACTTTCTGCTTATACTGATATTTAAATTCAAAAGTGTTTGAGCAACATTTTAAATTATATTGTAATGAGTTCCATTGTATCACACCAGTGGAAAACCAGTGAGCATGTCTTATACTGAACCCATATGTGCCAGGGAACATCAGGATGAACTCAAAGATTCATCATTCAATCTGAGTACACTTTTTTAATCTGCTTATCCAAAAAGTTTTATGAATGTCTTTCAGCCACTGCTGAATCATGCTAAAGCTGCAAGTGCCTTTTGCATTTGGATGTGACATGCCAATGTGCTTCCTCATCACTGATCAGAGATCAATGGACACCGTGGCTTCCTTTAAGCCTCTGGAGGCAGGTGTTGCAGATTTGCAACAGTTAAAAACTACCTATCTGGTTACTCCACATACGTATTTCATGAACATTTTTACTCAGAAGTAACCCTGAAGGACTCAGTTGTTCGTCCTGTTACCAAAACTTAATTTGAGCCTGAGAGGATTAAAAGACAGCTCAAAACTTATCTTTTCACCTTTGCTTGTGTTTTCTGTTAATCAGACATATTGGTGTTGCTTATCTTGAAAGCTGATATGTGCTACTAACTAATTTGAGGTCAATAAGGTGTTTGAATTGCTCTTAGTCTGACCCCTGTCCTGAGACCAGTTTTCTGTGAGAGTCTTCAGTAGAAGGAACTCCCATAACTACATAGACCTCAGGTTTACAGAGGTACGCAAACCCATTCACCACGATAAGGTGGCAGTTCATCGAAAGGAATGTTTAAATATATTTAATTATTTTTTATTTAATTTTTTTTCTTTCATCAATTTTTTTTCATTTATTTATTAGGCAGTTTTCAGTAAGAAATCTTAATAATGTTTAAAAATAATTTCCTGACCTGACGATGACGCCCTTTCCTTCTCCAACGAGATTTCTTTTTGACGCCAACATTTTCCTCTCCCATTATCTCAAATGACAGGACTGTCAACAGCAGGTCAAGTCTGTTTTCTGTTTCAAACTCGTTTAATAATTCAGGAAACAAGAGTTTGATCAGTTCGTCCATTTCTGCTGCCGTTTGAGAATCAACCAGGTTTACTCTGGGTTCACAACTTCTTCTTTTTGCGGGAACTCTTTATAAGAGGAACATTAACTTCCTCTGGTTCCTCAACTGTGTGAGTTTCAGACGTCTCACTCACGTCTAGAGAAACATCTGCAAATGCAAAACCATTATTTTCTGATTCTATATTAAAAACTTGCAGGATTTCATCATCTGCTTCAGTCTCTGACATAAAACAATTTTCCTCATAATTGGTGACGATTTGCAGAGTTTCAGTCGGCTTAGAAGGAACATTTTCGTTCTTTGGTTCCTCGACTGTTAGAAATTCTGACGTCTCAGTCAATTCTGAAGTAAATTCCTTTGATGGACAACCACTACCTGCATTATCATCCACTCTTTGAAGTAATTCCACATTTTCTTGACAATCAGATGTAGAGACATCGTTTTCTTCAGGAATAACCTCAATTTGCAGAGTTTCTGTTGATGCAGTTTGTGGTGAGGAACTAGTTTCTTCAGAAATGATTTCCTGGCAAGTTTCTGAGATGTCCTTCTCAGCCTGACGTCCTTTCTTTCTCCTACGAGATTTTTGCTTGACGCCAACATTTTTCTCTCCCACTATCTCAAATGACAGGTCTGTTAACAGAAAGTCAAACCTGTTTCAAACTCATTTAGTAGCTCAGGAAACGAGAGTTTGATCAGTTCGTCCATTTCTGCTGTCGTTTCAGAATCAACCAGGTTTTCTTTGCTGTCAGAAATATTTTCTGCAAAATTGTTCACACTTTGCAGGATTTCCTCATGTTCCTCAGTCTCTGATGAATAAACACAATCCTGCATTTCTGTCTGTTTAGGATGAACATTCACTTCATCTGGTTCCCCGACCGTCAGACACTCAGGCATTGCAGTGATTTCCAAATCACAGTCTGCTGAAGGTAAAATGTAATTTCCTTCATAATCGATCAACACGTCTTGCTTTTTGTCATCAGTTTGAATCTCTGATGCAAAAGCATCTTTTTCTACATAATTAGTCACTATTCGGACAATTTCAGAGTCTGAAAGAGTTTCTTGTTCCAAGAGAACATTTGGATAATTTTCAGTCTGATTAAACAAATTCTTCTGAGACTGTCTGAGTTGAAAGAGTTCTTGTATCTTTTGTCAGTAAAGTCTCTTTTAATTAATTAATTTCCTCTTGTTCCTTCAATTTGTATGCCAAATAAAGAATTTTATTTCAGAATTTTATCATCCAGTTCTTTCAGAATTTGGTTTAAATCCATCAATATTTCACCATCTGGAGGTTCCCCGAATACACATTCTCACATCCAAAGCATCAAAATATGACGCGTGTGACCAAGCCTCAATATATGATGATTCGGGATGCCCCAGCGCGTCAGGAGACGATGATCAGGGATACACTGATGACGCACCGTCCCAGAGCGTCGTTATTCGACGCCGGTGGTGAGATGGACATTAGAACGACTTGTGGACTACTTAACCTTCCCCTCACTCCAATCCTAACCTTAAGGTCACAGTTACTGACTTTAAGGTTAGTATTGTGGTGGGGGGAAGGTTAACTAGTCGATTAATGTCCATGTGACCGCGGGCGTCAAACACTGACGCCAGCGGAGCCACGTGTCCCTGCGTGTCCCTGATTGTCGTCTCCTGACGCACTGGGGCATCCCGAATCGTCATATATTGAGGCTTGGTCGCACGCGTCATATTTTGATGCTTTGGGTGTGAGAATGTGTTGGCTGGAACTCTGCAGCTGGTTTCTTCTAAGTCGCTCATATATTCTTGTTTATCGCCATATTTCACGTTTTCCTCGTCATAAATTGGGTCATATGGATAAATGATAATTCCCACATCTGGTAAATCACGCAGTTCTTTTTCAACCAAATCGCCCCACAGACACGAATCTTCATTATTTTCAATGGTACAAAGAGATTCCATCTCAAAGGTGTTTGACAGAGAAGTGTTTTCAACCATGCTAAAAATAAATGATTGCCGATGGGTTCTGGAGACACGTCTGGAAGAGATGCTTTCCACATGAACACTCGAAGACTTATGACAGGAGTCGGGTCAGGGTGCTCTTTATATAGGCTCTGGTCCAGTGTGATGTAATAAAGTTGTGCGAATCGTTGACTTAATAATTGTAACCAAATCAAATTGGGGCACTAGTAAAGATTCGCACCTCTACTATGTAAGAGTTTTAACTCTTTGTGTTTGTATAAAGTTTGTAATGAATCAGTTTTTGTGTGTGTATGTTGGTAAGAGTGGGTGTTGGGGGTCCTGGCTGGTCTTGGATACATCTAAGGGGATCCTCAAGGGAAAAGAGGTACAACAGCTGTAACAGATTAATTTATGCTAACAAATCTGAACACACACAAAGTCAGAAAACAGAATGTCCTGACTTCGGATTGGATCTGTACACCTGGCAACCATCAGATTCTGTGATTCACGAAAAAAGCTAGTATTTCAGTAAACATTCAACTGATTGTCAGGCAGTGTTGGGTTGTTTTAAAAAAATGGATATTTATAATTGGAGATATAAGAAAACATCAATACACTTAAATATTGTGAATTGATATTTAGCATTCATGCATGATTAAAAGTGGGTTATTGTTTTTTTTTTTATTGTGAACAACAAGATCTTGCAAGAACACTGGGTGTGTCCTGGAAGCGTCTGACCTGAATCTTTCAATTATATTCAGTCCTAAAACGTGCAAATATAAATGAAAGTGAATGTATGAAGGTTTGAAACATTTGTGGGAAATCTCTGATCTGAACCCTTTAGCCAAAGAAGATCTACCAGGAAACATCTGACAGATGAACAAGCCTACTGCATTATGTGCTAGATTTATAACTGATGACCAAACACTCGAACTGGTCAGCATCTACAAGCCCTTCACTGCAAACCTTCTGATTCTCATCTGTCAAAGGTTACATGTCGTTGTTAAATGTTCTGCAACACTATAAGTTATAGACTTAGAAAAACATTAATAGATGGCATTTGTACATCTACAAGTAATCTATTACACTTTTGCTTCCCCTAATGTAAAGTGTGAACAACTCATTATTTATAAATGTTTTAAAATCATTTGTAGCTCCACTAAAATAATTACAAATGCTATTTAGGTGTAATGTTTTACTTTAGGCCCACAGTAATCCATCGATAAATCTAATGATTGGATAAGCCTTTATTTTCCTTTCCTTAGAAAATTTAGTGAAATTGTAACAAGAGAAGTTGTAAAAAAGACAAATGAATAAAAAAAGTATATTTCTAGGGAAGGAAGTTACACCAGTAAAAGACTGTATAACTCAGAAGTGATACATGAAACGAATCGTCTAAAATTTTTATTTAAGTATTTAAATATTCGTTTTAGTTTCAGCTCTACCCCCTTTTTTCCAAACAATACTTAAAGAGACAATGTGTAGTTTTCACCATTCATTTCTGGAAACATCCATCAATATGTTATTAAAAATGAATAAAATTATGCCCAGTTGTTGAAAAACATTGGTGACTTTGTCACATACAACCATAAAAGATCAGGTCTAAAACACATAGGAGCGGCTCCAAGTCTCTGGGCAACGTCACATTAGATGCCATGTTTCCATCTGTAGGAGCCCATGAGGACAAAATGCATTTACTGATTAATCACAAATGATTACAAAACATTCATCTTTCTTAAACATTGTTTTACACATTTACCTCTTCACTTGCTGCCAGTGATGAAAGTGAGTCTGATGTGCTCGTTATTTTGCTAAAGTTTGCACTCCCCAGTGCTTTTTGAACCTAATGAGCATCCGTTAGTAAGGTCTTGCTCCAACACAAAAATACTGCTTGCTTGCAACGATTTAGGTAACACACTGTCATTTTAAAGAAAATAAATAGCATAATAATAAATGAAAAGGGTTTATAATTGTGTGGATTATTTTTTGTAGATTTCATCAACATTTAAATGATTTCATGTTCAAAATTAATAGAAAAATGTATTCATGATCATTTAGGTAATTCTTTATAAATCACTGGTGTGTCATAACCTTACATATAATCAATGATGATTGTGACTTTATACATTTTTACATAATTTATAAACTATTATCGAATGTGGAAAAGAGTGTTTGCAAATGTTTACTTAATCATTGTTTAATCACTTGTATATGTCATCACAGCTTCTGAAAGGAATTGTAAATATTACCCAATACCTTGAAAATATTTATTAATGACTTATTACACACTTATTAATGTATTTGTATATGTTAGTATAAGCTTTATAAATTATGTGTATAACCTATTAATGGTGTAATTAATTAATAGTTATATAATGACATAGTTATAAATGTTTAGTAATAAAACATTATAAAATGTTACCTCTTCATTTTTGTCCAGGCCTCTTCTATGAGTTTTTTTCTAAATAATTCAGTTGAAGGATGGTTGAGAAGCAATATCTGACTTTCACTGGTTAAATTCAAAGAATTGTAGATAGAGATTTGTCACAAAATCTTGGAGAGTTGTGTGCTCTTAGCCAATCAAAGGAGAGATGTTCAAATATGAATAAAAATGAGCAGGATCCCAAATCCTGCCATTTTCTGAGCCCCTCTCCTCCGGCTATAACTTTTTCTTCTTGCAACAGGAGCGTGAGGTGTTTTTTTTTCCCCACAGAGAATAACTCACAAGTCATTCATGTATACTAGAGACCACAGCAAATGTATTGAAAAAAAATGAGTGGAGGAGACCTTTAATTTATATAAAAATACCTAAACAACTAGTGGGTTTGTCACATTCTTTATACCAGGTGATTCAAAATAACTAACAGCAATGGCCACAGCTAAAAGGACCAGTATTTGTCATGGTTACTTGATTTAATCCACTTCTGCACATCTGCAAGCTCCAGCGTATCCAGTGTAGATGTCTCACCCTGCTCCGGTTTGATATTGTTTAAGTTTTCTTTTAGCCTCTTCCACAATTTCCAAACCGCCGAGGCCATTAAGCCATCACTCTGTCACCAACAATCCCCCAGAGATTCTCAATTAGAGTTAAATCAGGACTCTGGGCTGGTCTTTTCATTATTTCAGTGACATTAGCTTTGAGGATGTGCTTTATCAGTTTTACAGTGTGTGACAAAAGGGCAGTGACCGGCAGAGAAGTTGGATGCTGGTTGAGAGATTCTTGTCTGGAGCTGCTGGAGGATTTTCTAATGGACTTTCGTTTTGCTGCCTTGCTTTAAAAGTTATCACCCACGACTTCACACTTAGGCCATAAAGTGGAATGAGACTGAATCTATACTACGAGAAAAAAACATTAACTAAAGAAACATTTGTTGGGCCCTGCTTTGGTCTTTGGAGCTTACAAACATCCCGTAGTGGAGCGGTTTGGTTCCAGCCGAGGCAGAACAAGCTCAGGTTACGTGGAAGTAAACAGCGAGTGGAAAGCAGAAGAAGTGGAGTAAATCCACACAACAATCAATTGTTTCGTGACTATCTTTTCATCCACTGAGAGGAAACAGGAAGGATTTTTTCCCCTCACATTTATGCATTACACACTTCCACATTTCCTCTGGCGACATGAGACTAAAAACAGCCCGTCTCCCCGTAGGCCGAGTCATCGATCTATCGCTGATGGGTTCAGAGACTGAAGAAGAATGAATGGTATAAGGATGTTCTATTTGCTTGAGTGCACAATGTTCTGGTGGGATGGACAACATAAATGTCATCTTTAAGGTGTTACTAGGTTTTTGGGAAAAACGAGACTTGTTAGCTTACTAGGTTTAATGTGTTTGGGCTGATGCACTTCCTTAGCAAGTAACCTGGATAATATTGAACCTGTTCATTCATATTCAGACAATATCAGGTTAGACAGATGCCTAAATCTAGTTGTAGATATGCTCTTCCCATGCAGGGATCAAAAATGAAATATCTGCATTATTATACCTCC